TTCCTTCCTTCCTTCCTTCCTTCCTTCCTTCCTTCCTTCCTTCCTTCCTTCTCCCTCCTCCCTCCCTCCTTTCCTTCCCATTCCATCTTCTTTCCTCCATTCACATTCCTTCCTGCCTCCGTCCACACGTCTCTCTTTCCCCCACCAACTACTAGCGCTAACCTACAATGTGCCAGCAGTCACACAAGGTACATAAAATATTTTAAGAGACTAAACACAATGGGAGGGGGACGATAAGAGAGGATAGTGGGGGTGCATGAAAATAATTAAAATTCTTTACATATGTGTATGAAGATGGCAGAGAATTGAAAAGGGGATGCAAGGGAAAACACAAACATTTCCCTCAGGAAGCAAGAAATATGATGAGGATGGGTCAGCTAGTAAATAAATAATTTCAGTACAGTGAACTCTGGTGGGAAGCATAGCAGAAGGGAAAGCTTCACCTAAAGAATTAACCTTGGGGCTGGAGAGATGGCTCAGTGGTTAAGGGTACTGACTGCTCTTCCAGAGGTCCCTGGTTCAATTCCCAGCACCCACATGGCAGCTCACAACTGTCTGAAGATCCAGTTGCAGGGGATCTGACACTTTCACACCAATGCACATAAAATAAAGTTAAATAAACCATAAAAATATTTTTTTAAAAAAGAATTAACCTTTAACCTGAGGCTACAATACTGCACCAAAAATAGGAAACCTTTGATGAGATGCTTACTGTATATCAGAAAATGTTCTAGGTCTTCAAAATACATTCACAGACCACGTAGCAGTGTTTCCTTCCACAGTGACTGTGGTTATGATGGTGATCTCGTGAGATTACAGTGGAGCTGAAAACTTCCCATGCCATATCGACACTGAGACTGTTGTAACGTTGTAGTATGAGGCATCACTTGTGTGTTTACGGTGATGTTGGTATAAACCAGCCTACCACACTTCCTGCTGTATAGAAAGAAGTACATAGCATATAGCACATGACTGTCTACAGCATACAGCAATCCATGATAATAACAAAGGTCTATGTTACTGCTTCATGGATTTATAGTACACTTTCTGCTTTGGTTTATTTTTCTGCCCAGCTGAGTATTGAACCCAAGGTCTTATATATTTGAAGCAAAAGCTCTACCACTAAGCTACATCCAACTCATCTATTTCCTATGATTCTTTGACCATTATTTTAGAACGTATATCGATACTTGTAAAATGTGTTTCAACTTTAGTAAGTGAACGAATGAATGAATAATGTACCATGACACTGCCGTGTGTACCCGTGTGGTGTCTACTCCATATCCTTAACACATTTGTGCTAACCAGTAAAATGAGGATTGCTCAGCATTGTTTTTTTTTCCTACCCCACCCAAATGAATGGTTTAAGGACCAAAATTTAATTACATCTCTCTACCGCACTAAGTGGATAATAAGACCAAGTGGCTATAGACTTCAAAGGAAGGGCATGCAACAATCTCAGGAGCAAGAGGATCTCTGGAGTTGATCTCAGAGGATCTTGAATTGTGGCGCCCTTGAATTGCTTCAGTCCCACAACTGTTTCAAATCCCTCTTGATTGGAGAGGTAGCACAGTGCACGCACGGGCTAAGAGCAGAATCTGAACATTGCCGGAAAATGTTGGGTCCTGGCTCTGACTGTCTTATGGGATTAGCCAGTCTTTGCCAAGTTACTCAGTCTCCCTGTCTCTTAGTTTTCCCACTGGCAAATGAAGATAATACAACTACCTCACAGGAAGAGTAAATGAGTCATTATATGCAAAACACTTGGAACAGGGGCTGAGCGTAGTAAGAGCTATACAGTGCCAACTATTTACCACCTACAAAGATGAGTATGGTGCCAGGGCCTTTGAAGCCAGAGTAAGAAACTCTGGCACTGGCAAGCAAAAGCACGTGACCTTGGCAGAATTGCTTATTTTCTCTAGAACTATTTCATTTATCTCTGTACCATATGATGGCAATTCTATCTTTCTGCTTACTTCACAGAGCTGTCATAAAGACCAGAGGAGGTAATGGATGTGAATTTTTAGAGAAGCTCAAAGTCTTTCATAAACAAGGAGTCCTATTAATATCATTTCCCTTTGAATTATTTGTGTATAATCAGGGCAGTTTTACACCTTACCCTTTAATGCAAAAAATCATTGGGGAAAGAGGCTGGATGGTGGTGCACACCTTTAATTCCAGCACTCAAGATTAAAGTTCGAGACCAGCTTGGTCTACAGAATGAGTTCCAGGACAGCCAGGGCTATACAGAGAAACCCTGTCTTGAAAAACTAACAAAAAATATCAGGAGGAAAGAAAACGACTCCATGAAATGACGATGGATTGGCCAATCAAAGCTAGTTCAGAAGTCACAGGAATTGTTTCATGATTTGAAATACCCAGTAATCTAGTAGATTAAAGTTGATTACAGTGGGAAAGGTACTAAAAAGGGGTGAAGGCACTTGGATATAGTTCCCAATTCTCCTGTTAATTTCCTGTATCATCTTGGATGAGTCATTCTCTTAATCTGTGCTTCCACAGCCTGTAAAATGATAAAAATGTGTCTATACAACTCTGATTTCCACCAAGCGGTGGTGGCGCATGCCTTTAATCCCAGCACTCGGGAGGCAGAGGCAGGTGAATCTCTGTGAGTTCGAGGCCAGCCTGAGCTACAAGAGCTAGTTCCAGGACAGGCTCCAAACTCTACAGAGAAACCCTGTCTTGAAAAAAAAAAGAATTCTGATTTCCTCTCTACTTACTGTAGTCTATGTGCAAGGGGCTTCTGGCTATTATTCCAGGCTGGAACTCAATCCTATCTCAGGGACTCTGCACTTGGATGTTTCTCCACCTGCTTAATGGCTCGTTTTCTTTTTGTTACGTTCCTGCCTTAATGTTTTACATGCAGTGTTTGTACAAATGTCTCTAACTCTGTGATTGTGTATCTTGTGGCAGACATGCTTCTAAACACAAAGAGCTGGTCACTGAGGTTAAATACCTGTTGGGTCTCTACAAAATAAGTCCTCCTAGGCAGAATTTGTTCACAAATATAGTATTTGATGAACAGAAATATTCAAAGGTGTGTCAAGTTTCACTGTTTTCTTCTCTCAAATTTCCTGCAAACACAAGCCCAGATCACCTTATAGATACCCAAATCTATGAAGCAATGCATCTGACTGTCTGCTCAAAGCTTGTCTTGATGTTCTATAATACAAGCACTTTAAATATTTCTTAGTAGACTCTCAGGAAATATTTGATCAGATGACCATTAAATGGGAAAAAGTTATTAAATATTTAAGAACTGAACATATATACACATTCTATATAATTGAGCAATCGTGCTTAACAACACGCTTACACATGGACATTAAAATGCTACAAAAAATACAGGACAAAAGTTGCGACTGAAACAAAAGAATTTCCATTCAATTCCCTTTCTTTATTCGAGTTAATACAATCATAATTAGCTGTCGGCTATAATAACTCAGTGGTAGAGTTGTTTTTTGGCACGCACGAAACCTTAATTTGGACTCCCAATATCAACAAACAAAAACCGGAACCTCAGAATTTGAGTGTGAAAGATTGTCACTTACAAGCTTGCATGTCAAGGGGGCTTAAAAACACACACACCTCCCATTTTGAAGTATAACCAGCATTACTGTATGGGTGGAAAGGGCTTTTCATAGTACCAGATATACAGCGATGAGAAGGTTAGCTGATAACGACTGCTTTGTCTTCTTTTATAATAAAAACATCTTTTTCTTTTTTATTAAGTTTTTTCATACAATATAGTTTGATCATGTTTTTCCCTCTCCCAACTCTTCTCATCCTCCGTATGTGCGACTCCAAAAAAAAAGGCAAGAAAAAAAATCCGTCAAAACGAAAACCAAAACCAACAGGCAAATGACTGATAAGACATGAAAAATGCCCCAAACAAAGCAAAACAAGAAGGCCCACAAAAATACCACTGAGCTCGTTTTGCGTTGGTCAACTTCTCAAAGAAAACTTGCGCACCCACAGACCGCCGGACAGGCTGCCAGGCAGAGCGCGCATGCTCGGCCCGCCTCTTCCGCCCACGTGACCGGCACTGCTCCGTTCCCCAATATGGCGGCGCCCAGCGGAATGAACTGCACGTGAGAAAGAGCAGGCAACTCAGCCTCTCAGAGTAGCGTGTGTGAAGCGCTTTCAACTCCGTGCTGCTCTAGAATCTTTTCCTGTCTCCCTAAGGCCTTCGGAGGGTCCGTGCCCGTCGGCAGCCATGAAGACCAAGCCGCTTTCCCACAAGACGGAGAACACCTACCGGGTGAGCGCGGGAGCCGGGCCGGGACCCGAGCCGGGTCGGGAGCCGCGGGTCCCCCAGCCTCTGCCTGCCTCCCACTGATAGCCTGACTTCTGAGCCTGCAGAGTCGGGGCAAAGCTGCGACCCCTCGTCCCGGGCTCCGGCCAAAGTGGGAAACCCTGCCACTATAGTAAACACGAGTTCCGGGGGGAGTTAGGAGGTTTGAGTTGCAGAGGTCGCCTTTAGACGATGATCTCCGGTCTTCTGGGGAACTGCCTTGGGTTCAGGGTCAAATCTGTTGCCCCGAGAGATTTTCTGCAAATGCGTCTCGCCTTTTAACGTTAAAGACTGAACCGTGGGGCGGGCGGGCAAGTGGTGAGTGATTTCCAGCTAGCTGCTGTGGGGCCCTTTGTAGTGTCTGCCCAGATCCTTTCGCAACTGTATTAAAAAAAAAAAAAGCAAAAAACTTGTTGCCATGACTTAGTAAGATCCCTGTGCTTTTGGTGTGGTGTGAAATCTGAAAGACTCAGCAGGTCTACTTGCCAGCGTGCATCCAGCTTTCTCATACTGTGTGGAAATGGTATTTAAAAACCAGAGCTTAGGAGGTAAATCAATTGGTAGAGAGCGCTTGACTGGCGTGCTGGAAGCCCCAGGTGTGGTGGCCAGTGTCTGTTACCCCAGAACTGGGGATGTAGAGGCAGGAGGATCTGAAGTTAAATTTAAAGGTCACCCTTGGCAACATAGCCAGTTCTAGGTCAACCTGGGATACTTAAGTCTTGATTATCGTCAAGTAGTACCAGTGCATTTGTGCGTCTGTTTAGAGTTCTTACATTTACCTTTTGTGCTTCATCAGTGATAGCTGTTCTTTTAAAAGAAGAAACAGTTGCACATTTAATGATCAACAGGTGCCACAAGTCTGAAATGACAAGCTGAGGTTACTGTTATTTGTGGTGACAGTTCCTAGAAGGCTTACTGAAGCTCTGAACATTCTGCCTTTGGAGTCTGATATGATTATGGTATAGGGTGCTCCAATCGATATCAAGATAGGATAAGCATTAAGTGTGAATGTGTCCTCAATATGCTTCTTTTCTTTGCAGTTTCTTACGTTTGCTGAAAGATTGGGGAATGTGAACATTGATATCATTCACCGGATTGATAGAACCGCAAGCTATGATGAGGTAAGAGGATGTGGTATTAGCAGCCCTTAAACCGCTTTAGTAATACAAATAAATCGTTTTTCACAACATTTTTAATGGACGTGCAGCGATTTAGACCTGTGTTGTCCAGTAAAGAAATCACACATAGCATATACATTTTTAATTCACTTTAAAGTCCTCAATAGCTGTTAGCGTGCTGGAGACGTGCCATACTAGATGGGACATTTCCTTCCTGGCTGCGAGTTCAGTTGGGTGTTGCAGGGTTAAACAGCTGGCTTGTCTTGATTTGGAAACTCATCTTTTGTTGTGTACACTGCAGGTGGGACTAATTTTTGTTTCCAGCTCTGATTTCAAAGTGATTTTGATGAAATCTGCTTATTGGGGTCTAATTTCGTCCTCTTTAAAAGGAAAGATGCTAAACTACACGCTTTCCTGTCCTAACCACATTCCTAACTGGTGTTCTTCTAAGAAGTGATGGTTTCCCCCTTTTTTGGCACATCAGGCCCTTATGCTTCTGCTAGCCCTTTAAGGTCTTGTTGATGCAGACGCCTTTAACTCGGGGCTTCAGCCTCAGCTTGTCGATTTCTGTTACTGATCAGCTTCTGCCCTGAGTCTTTGCATGCATTGTCTCCTTACCACTTTCGAGTGTTAAATGGTATCATCTAGGTCAGCATGAAATGCTCTGAGAACTCACCGTGAAGGGAGTGCTCTCTTGGAGAGTATCGGAAAGGATGTCAAAAGGGGATATATAGAAGATGGTACCTGAATTAAGTTTTGCTGTTTGGGCAGGTTTTAGTGTGGCAGGAGGCAAGAATGGCTCTTCCAACCTGAGGGAAAAGTCTACACAAAGCAGCAGACACTCAGAAATATGTGTTGTATTTAAGATACTACAAAACTGTCAGCCTTACAGATGTGCTCAGGGTGCATGCATGCGTGGTGACAGGGATGGGAGGGGAGGGTAGCTGAAGAGATGGGAAAGATCACAGTTTCATGTGCCAAGCAAGTTTGGATATCATCCTGAAGCTGTAGAATGCTATTCCAAAATCATAAGCTGGGGAGTAAGCTTACGACTTGATCAGGCGTAAGATTTTTGACCTGTCTGTCTAAATAGCTGTGAAGATCCGACAATAAAGGACTGTGATAGTGGCAACCAAAACAGAAGGAGAGTTTCGGGGATAGTAAGTAGAGTGGACCTGCTAGATGGGTGGAGAGGAAAGGAGTAGGGTTAAGGTTTTTGGTTACAATAACAGGATGGTTAAAGAAACCACTCAACAATATAGATTTGTGAAGGGTTGTGTGTGGTGGCACATTCTTGTGATTCCAGGGGAGGCCGAGGCCGAGGCTATTCTAGGCCAGCCTGTACTATACAGCAAGGCCCTGCTATTCATATGGGTGCATGTGCGCTCTCTCTCTCTCTCTCTCTCTCTCTCTCTCTCTCTCTCTCGGATAAGCATTAAATGCTAATGCGAGAGAACACAATTCTTAGAGGAAGGTAACTTGTTGGATTTGGTGTGTAGTACCTGTGATCATGAAAATTATATTGTCCGTAGGATGTTTGGGAGAAAAGGACAGTACCGGAAAGCACTGAATCCTAACTACTAGACCACCAGGGGAAACATTAAAAGACATTTGACCAGCAGGGTGTGTTGTCACGTCTTTCCTCCCAGCACTTGGGAAGCAGAGGCAGGTGGCTCTCTGTGAGTTGGAGGCCAGCCTGGTTTATATATCTTGTTTCAGACCAGTCAAGCTGTATAGGAAGACCCTGTCTCAAAAACATGTGTGAATCTGGAACATAGGAGACTGAATGGTCCAAAATGATGGCCTCAGATATGTGTGTGTGTGTGTGTGTGTGTGTGTGTGTGTAGCACAGTTGGGTCTTGTTGATCTCCATTCTCATTGTCTTAGTTAGATTTTTATTGCTATGATAAAGACCATGACCAAAAGCAACTTGGGGAGGAAAGGGTTTATTTCAGCTTATTATTTATAGTTCATCAAAGAACTCAGGCCAGGAACTCAAGGCAGGGACCTGGAGACACAAACTGAATCGAGTCCATGGAGGAGTGCAGCTTAACTGGCTTGTTTTCCATGGCTTGCTCAGTTTACTTTTACCATGCAGGACCAGGATGTAGTGGTCTGGGCCCTCTCACTTCCATCATCAATCAAGAAAACGTTCCTCGGGCTTTTTTCCAAGGCCAACCCAGTAGGAACATTTTCTCAGTTGAGGTTCCTTTCTCCAAAATGACTCTAGCTTATTCAAGTTGACATAGAATTAATCAGGACACTCTTGGTATAGCTGGACCGGTCTTCTTTCTGTCATGTGAGACTCTAAGGTAGTGTAGCAGGAAGGGCATTTCTCATGCAGCCTCGCCATTTCCATCAGCTGTCTGCTGTTAGTAGATACATGGGCTTGGTAAACTCTGTCTGCGTCCATCTCACTTTATCCAGCAACTCAGGTAGTGATTTTTAAATCAGACATTCAAATACAATACAATCTAAAGTAAACTAATTTGGTACTTGCTAAAGAATGACAGAAGACTATTACTGAAGCTTGGTCAGTTGTCTTGGAGTTGCTTCACTAATGCGCGACCTCTCTCTTGCAGGAGGTTGAAACCTACTTCTTTGAGGCACTGCTGAAGTGGAGAGAACTGAACCTCACAGAGCACTTCGGTATTTTTGTTTCGTTTGTAGTTTATTCTCCCATAATTTGCACTTTTTATGTTCCCAACAACTAGTGATGGAGAAACTGAACGTAATCCTTTTTGCTTTCTTTCTTTTTTCTTCTTTTCTTAATCCAGGGAAGTTTTACAAAGAAGTCATTGACAAATGCCAGTCGTTTAACCAGCTGGTCTATCATCAACACGACATAGTGCAGAGCCTAAAGACTCACCTGCAGATCAGGAACAGTTTTGCCTACCAACCTCTTTTGGAGTAAGTCATATCTCAGATGAAGGCTCAATGGTGTTTATCTGAGCCTTAAAGAAGGTCATGGTTCATTCCTGGGCTTAAGTAATGTTTATAATGTAGTAACAAGACGATCTGCCTTCCCTGCTAGTTTACTGTTATCAGAAAAGCATGTGCTGCTGTAAGGCAGGGTGACACTTGCCCTGCAATATGATAGTACACATATGGCTCCTGTTAGAGCTGTGTGCTTCTTTGACCCTAAGGATGGGTGCCCTGAGTTCTGCAGTAACTTTCTGATTTGATTTCTCTGCTCCTCTGTTAAGATTTGAGCTGCTGAGCAGTGGTGGCACACGCCTTTAATTCCAGCACCCTGGAGGCAGAGGCAGGCAGATCTCTGTGAGTTCGAGGCCAGCCTGGTCTACAGAGTGAGTTCCAGGATAGCCAGGGTCACACTGAGAAACCCTGTCTTGGAAGATAGATAGATAGATAGATAGATAGATAGATAGATAGATAGATAGA